CCCCCGGGGGGGGGGGGAGGTGGCCGCGCACCCCACGCTGCTTTCTCCGCCCGGAGCGCAGCAGCCTCCACGCAGGCCAGGCTGCCTGGGCGCCCAGGCCCCAGCGCATCGATCTTCGTTTGCTAATCAGACACAGGCGCTTTGTTTGTATCAGCTTCGTGGGACTGGAGGGCCAGAAGCTTTACCCCACACCCTGGTTCACAGAACATGGTGGCTTCCGGGCTACAATCAGGGACACAAACAGCAAAGGTGACCAGATACATCCAACCATCCCTGGCCGGGTGTTTACATCCTTACATAAAATCGGCTCCCTTCAAACATCCAGTACCTGGCACTGTTTAAAAATACAGACAGGAGGGGTTACTCCAGTTTCAAGCAAGTACAACTGTTTGTGCTTTTTTAATACAAGGCTGTTTTGCATCCTGCATCATAACATCAAAAATACACCCCTTTACAACTTGAGTCATCACAAGAGCATCTATGCACACAGTTACTTGTCAGGGCAGCATGGATATTCGGAAGAGCATCAGTGCACAGTTCTTTGTCACATGAACACGGATGTTCACAATAACACATTTGCACAAATTGATTTGCCTGTCTAGCACTGTTTGTAATTGCACAACTTTTGTCCTAAGGTGACCAGCATGGCTGTTCTGCTGCTGCTTTTCTTCTCTCCATGAAGAATACCCTCCAAAGAAAAGACCCTATAAGCAATATTGCACTACTACCCTGATCACAAAAGCAGAGGCAATATTGATAGGGTCTTATCCTTAAGGTTATGAAGCTGGATTATGCTTCCTGCAGCAGGTGACTGGACGTCCATTAGTCTGCAAATGTGTAAGGGGTAAAAAGTTAGAAAATAGTGCACCCCCATCAAAAGTACAATTACTTATCACTGGGGAGGAAGAAAGGCAAATGGCCATGAGATGCATCTCTTGAGGTTACGTCTGCTATAGAAAATGGAATCTAGCCATAGGTTCTCCTTTTTTCCAGTGACAAGCATTTCATTACAATGTGGGTTTTATCCAGGTTTGGGCATCTCTCCCCCAGCCCCATATTCCTTCCTTCAATCTGGATTTTCTCTCCTTTCTTTAATGCGCAGGCTGGATCCACTGTCTAACTTGGAGAGGCTGGAACCTTCTACTTATTTTATTACTAGTTATATATTTTGAACTCATTAGTAACATGATTGCAGGCCCTTGTAGAACTTCCTTTCTAGGGCTGTTCTGCTGATAGGGCACAGGGTTTTAAAACACCTCTCCTTCATTGGAAATAAGGGCATTCAATACACCACAATAATTAGAAAGTGAAACAAGATCTCCAGAGCTGGCTCCACAGCTCAGATTAACATGCACAGATTACCTAGTTACATTCAACCTGCTTTAAAAACATGTGCGCCTTTGCCTAGGATCCATAATTTTCCAGCCTCTTCCTATGCATGACTGGAAGACACCAACCTTCTCTCATCAACGTTGTTCTGAATCTTTTAGTTCTGAACACTTTGGCGACCAGAAAGACAAAAAAAATCGAAGAGAAGAGCCAGAACTCGTCCTTCTTCTCTGGGAGTCGGAGCTCCTCTACCTAAGTAAACCTGCTCTACTCAAACTGGACTATTAAGTAAACCTGCCCCACTGTATTTGTCGTCTAGTAACACTTGAAAAACTAGAGCAAGGAGGAAGGAAACTTTATTCCCAGGCCATCCCAAACCAATTCACGATTTTGACACTTTAGGCTTCTCTTTCCTCAGCCTGCTTTCCAGCAGATTAAATAAAAGTGCAATAGAGAGACAATCCCCTAATTCATGGATTCCTGGCTAATTTATGCATTCCACATTGATCTGGTCTTTGCCATTAGAGATCCCTGGCGTTTGGCATGCTGGTGCGAGACAGCTCTCTATCCCCTTTGATGTTGGCTCACTCGCCAACAAACTAAAAACCAAAGACACTTGCACAGAATTGGGAATAGGGCAGAGGCTGCATTAATTGTTTAGTTTTTTTAATGGACTGATAAACAAAAACAACATGTAGTTCAGTTTGTCCTGTTTGTTGAAAGCTGATAGGAATCTTCTTTTCTGTATTATTTATTTGTAGTAACCTTTGCTCACGGTAATTAAAAGGCCATGTTCACAGAAGGGTGTTGTAAGCAGATCAGAATGGTTTTACCAAACTTTGGTATTTTTGTTACCTTGGCAAGTTCTCTGTTTTAATCCTGCCAGTCTGCTTTTCAACAGTCTCTGGCAGCTAGATCTTTAGTTAGGGTTAAAGCATTTTTTTAAAAGACAAGAGCTAGTCTTGGCCTTACCTTTCCATCTACTGCAGTCCAATAACTCCAGTTTCTATTTTGTTTCTATTTATCAAGTCTTTTTCCTCTCTTCAGCCTGTATATTATTTCAAATGAGACTTAAAAGCCCCCCCGTTCACCCTTTTAACCTCTCCAGTGGCTCAAACACTGTTCCCACTGGTGACTTTGAACTGTAAAGTCACAATTCACAACTTCAGGTGGTGTTACTCTTGAAACAGCAAACCAGAAAAAAAAAAAAAATCAGAATTCAACAGTCTACACACAATTTTGACCTGTGATATTATTATAAAATCTACAACTGACATGAAAGATAAGGGACACAGTTATGAATTTCAACTACAACTTAAGGTCTGAGAAAATGCACCGTTCTGTTACTCTGTTTTTACGCTGCTGGGTCTGCCCTCAATGCCTAGATGTGTCTCAAGAATTTCCTTATCTCCAACTGTCCAAGTACACTCCAGGGTCTCTGTGATGGTGTATTTGTACTGGACTCCTACACCCTCCTCTCCCCCCTCTCGCGAGACAGAAAAATAAAGACTGAATCGATACCCAATAATATTCACGCCATTTGCAAACAATATGCAAAGCCTGTGTTGATCCCTTCCCCATTGCAGGAATGCTTCCCTGGAATGTATATGGGGGTTATTTTAAAATAAACATTTAAACACAAGATTATGAAATGCATTCTATTTATACTCCAAGAGGCTGAGCGTCTCTAGATATGTTTAGAAACCTCTCTCGCCTTTAATCACATTTATAGAAACTAAATGGAAATGTCACCAGGACTAGTATGGAAATGACGCTTTAAATGCTGCTCAATAAAGGCAACATTTTGGAGTTTTGACTTGCATGACTGTGCTGGAGTCACTGCAGTATTTTTAAGCCACCCATTCTCGATGTTAATAGACAGAGTAGACTAAACTGACCCTATTATGGAGCTCTGGGCTAAATAAAGTAGTACACTGGTTTCCAGAGCTCAGAGGTCTCCTGCTTAACTAGACCAGACCCTGGATACCCTGATTTAGTTTAGGGATCCAGTTCCTTACTTACATCCATTACTTTTTTATTTCATTTTTCCTGGTTAAGGTGTCAGTCTAGGAAGCAGATTTTTATTGCTGAATCAGCTGTAACCTTACAAGCTACAGCTGGGTACCCAACCACACGCCCAGTCCTATTTCCCTGTCCATATGTACTTCAATAGCTAGAGGAGCTAGACAGTTTTAAAAAGCCATCTTGCTCTACTACGTATATATGTGTAGCCTACAATCTGTTTTCTGCAAAGGAATTGACACTGTTACCAAAGGTCAGACCAAACGCTGTGGAAACAGCTGTATGTTGCCATTTCACTTAGAGTTTTACATCCTATTTGATTTTTTAAAGATCATTGTTTTAAAATGGGGGAGGGTTGTCTTCTTAATTCTCTCTTTTTCTTTAAAAGAAAAAAATTCTTGGCATTCCAGCCCCACTCCGTAAGCCTATCTAGCAAGTCTGTACAAATCCTCCCAGAAAAAAGGGGATTCTTGCTTCCATGCAAGAGTCAACCTGTCCAGGTGTGCAAGAGACTCCAGAGCGGACGGGTTTGTAATCCTCTCTGAAAACATTAGCTTCCCAAGCAGCTTTCGCCCACTGAGCTGGGGGATTCGCTGTCACCCACAGTCATTTATCAATACATTCCCCTTCTCCTGAAATCAGAGGGGATTACACTCCAGAATGTCCCGCCATTTGATTCTCGCTTAAAATATTTAGTTTGTGGGTTTCAATAACCCTTTTCTCAGCAGCAACATTTCCTTGGCTGGCAGAAGCCAGATCTGCGTCAGTGAGCTCCATTAAAAGGAATGACAGAGCTCCTTAAACAGCCTAGACTTTGTAACCCCACAATATGGCTTTTCTGCATGGTGTTTACCAGCACTCTGCTGTCTGATGGAAAAAAAAGACACTGTGGTACTAACCGTAGGAGCAAGCTAGGGCTGAAGCCTATCACCTTGGAAATGCTGAGCTCCCGCCTTGCAGTAAATATAGTAAAGCAAACAAAATGCCGTAAAGTGCCCTAGCCCTGATGCTGAGCACATGGGGCTGGCCTTGGGGCACTCCAAAATGTCCCTCCCCTGGTCACGAAGAGGGAGGCACCCTCCCCGGCGCAGGCCCAGCACCCTGCAGACCTGCGAGCAAAGAGCAAAATGCATTTGCACTGGGTGGGTTTATCGCATCCCCAGCTCCAGCTCAGCACCACAAGGTTTGGCAGGGGGGGGAAAAAACCCCATCCCAAAACTGCGCCTCCTGGCCCTGCTGAGCGAGGCCCTCCCCCAAACCACCCAAGTCAAAGCGAAGCATGAGCAATCTTCATATGAATCCAGCACTAAATGCAATGACTCAAAAAGTCCCCCTGAAAAAAAAAAAACCCTCTGAAAACTTAAAACCATCTGATTTCACTTTCCGCTCCAATTGGTTGTGCAGCCAGGGTGCAGGTCTGGCCTCCTCCTGCACACTGCTGCCCTGTGTGCGCTGCCCTCGCAGAGGAGGGCTCTTTTAACAAGTTTATGCAACAACAGGATGGAAGCTCTCCCGAGCCCTTCCCCCTCGCCCCGACCTGATTCCCTGCATTCCTCCCGCGCCCCCTCCCCTCCCCCTCGCTCCCAACTGGAGACAAACGCTGGAATCTCCGCACACACATGCAAATGGTTTCCCTTGCACAAATGCAGCCTCCTGAAGAGGCCTTTGCTTCCGAATCCCCCCTTTTTCTTTCCTCCACTGCTTCCCCCCCTTCGCTGCTACATTCCTCAGCCAGGCAGGGTTAAAAAAAGAGAGAGAGAGAGAGAGATTGGGGAAGGGAGGAGCTGGAATGTGCAACCTCCATCCCAGCCCTGAAATCTGCAGGGAACCCCCTCCCAGACGAGCCCCCTCCCTCCTTTGTGTCCTGCCTTTTGCTGCTTAGGAGTAACTTCCCGATCAGCAAATATCCCATGAGCAGAAATAATTGTCTCACCCAAGCTGGAGCACTGCTGGGCTTGCACGGCAGGGGCCTCAGGGACGAGCCCACTGGGTGGAACTCAAGGCACCTTTCAAAAAAAGAACAGCCCCCGCCACCTCCAACATCTCTTCCACACCCAGACCCTAGAGCCCCCACCTCCATTTCGAGCACATCTGCTATATTTTTTTCGACTTCAGCTCATTGAAATCAAAACCAAAAGGCGTCCCCCCCAGCTCTGCACAGGCAGGAAAGCAGCAAGGCTTGCAAGGCTGGTGAGGCCATCTTCCATCCTGCACCACCCCCAAGCACTCACTGACACTTGTTTTCACTTGCTGCTGGGCTCATCCATGTGTCTGCCTGCACACCCACACACACCGACACACACACACACACACAGCGCAGAGGGGATGGCTTCCACCTGATCTCCCTCCCCCCAGACACAGACACAGGAAAGGGATCCCTTTTTAGTCCTGCACCGAGGTCACCGAGCTGCTACTCTGCTGCTCCCGGTTATGTCATTGGGAGTATGGTCATGCCAACAAAGGGAAGCCTTTCCAG